CAGTGGAACAAGCAGGTCAGAATAAGCGTTTTGCAAGTTGAAAGAGTTAACTGTCGTTTTGAAAAAAGTAAATATACCTTTTCCATGCTCCTCCCTGCCATGGAGTAGGGGAAGAGGGAAACTCCAGAAAAATCTGAAGTGATTGCAGTCAAGTATTGACACATGTTATTTTTCCTGAAACTTTCTATTTTCTCACACAGCTCTTCACACCTCGGGACAGGACTAGCCCAGGCGCAGCCCAGGTCAGGGCTTTGGACCCAGCTGGGTAAAGCGCTGCCGGAGCACATCCAGCACAAGGAATGAAATCAAGGCCAAACGCTTACTCAATATCAAGGACAGACTAGCCATTCCATGCCACTGTAAACTGGGAACAGTCTCACTGGTTACAGCGGGATGGGTCGGGCTCCCTTGCCCAGACTCTGCCTCTCCTGCACACCCAGGGTTTGTATGAAAGGGCTCCGGCGATTGCCGCGGCAGCAGGGAGGAAGGCCGGTGCCTGCGCACCTCTGAATGAAGTCATGATGAACCGGGGTTAAAAACACCCCTCGGCCCCCCTCGGTCACGGGCCTCCCCTCGCCCTATAAATAGCCAAAAGGCCGGTCTGGCCGCGGGTGCCGTTGCCTAAGGAGCGGCAGCACCCGTGCTGCTGGTGCTGCTCTCGCCCAAACGCCCCCCGCTTCCCTGGGACCGCGTCCCGCTGACGACAGAGCTTTCCATCTCCTCTCTCCGGCGGGAGCACGGTCCTGGCAAGGAGCTCGTGGCAGGAGTCAAGGCTTTGTAAGGAGAAATCCCCCGCGTTGGCCGTGCCAGGAGAGGATGGAAAGGCAAGAGCTCCTCTCGCACGCTGCTGGGGGGAACAGCCTCCTTGCTCCGTCACCGCGGAGGAGAAGCTTGTATTGAAGCTCTTCTACCAAGCCTCATCTTGATGGAAGATAGATTTATTTATTTATTTATTTTTACTACTGGAACAACCTCCCCAGGGATGCGATGGAGTCGCCATCGCTGGGGATTTTCAGGACACGGCTGGACATGGTTCTGGATAATCTCATCCAGGCTCTCTTTCCCACGAAAGGCTGGACCAGGTGAACTTTCAAAGTCCCTTCCAGCCTGGGCTGTTCTGTGGCTCTATCACCGATTTTTTTGGAAGTTCAAGGGTGCAGGTTCCCTGCTACCCAAATCAGTCCCACTGAATCTGTCTCCCGTGTACCTTGGCCAGATGCTCAGGGTGGAGCGGGTGGTTCGAAACAGCTGCCTGCCTCACCTCAGCGGACGTCAGGCCCTCGAGATGGTTTTCGGTCCCTTTCTCATCCCCTAACTTGTTGGGGTGCACGTTACAAAGCACCCCCGGGGCCAGCCCATCGCTCTCCCCCTCTCCTTTGCCCTGTGCTTTTGGACCAGGTGATCCTTGAGGTCCCTTCCAACCTGGGATTTTACAGTTCTGTGACCTGTGCCCGCTGGCAGCTCCTGCCCAACCTTCAGCCTCCGCCGAGGCTCAGCGCTACGTTTGCACTGCCACGGCGACACACTTGACACCACGTCTCTACTTTTCCACCTAAGGGGTCAAAATCCACCCTACGCTCAGCTCCGGTGAACCTCGGACTCTGCTCCATTCAACCGGCACGAGACAAGGCGACGGCCGCAGTAAAAGCTTCCTGGAAAGAGGCTGAAAGCCCGGGAGAAGCGAGGAGCAGAGCTGGGTGGCCCGGCCCTGCGCATCGCCTCTGTTTACCACGACCGCCAGCCATCAGTTATCACCGCCAGCTATCGGTTACAGCCCAACGGCTACCAAAACTGTCCTCGTGCCCGCGCGCCCCCAGTTATCACAGTCCCTGCTAAGAACCGGCAGGATTTCACCACCAGCTCTTTGTTCTCGCTGAGCAAGGAGCCCTTGCTTAAGCCCTGCACCCTGCACCTTGCTTAAGCCCTGCGCCCTGCCCTCGCCCTACGGGACCGACCCTGGAGGGGGAGGAAAGCAGACAGTCTGTATTTTATGGATCCCTCCATACTTTTACAAGTTAACCCAAGTTGAAAAAAGGTTGCCAGAAAGTTCGCTCTTGCCCTGGGAGCATCGTGGTCCCGGCATCCCCCCCCGCCTCCACCCGCCGAGCCGGGGCTCACCTGTGCCCTGCGTGCTGTTGCTTCTCCCCAGTTTGCAGGAGGTGCAGAGGGTGTCGTGGTACTGGTTGCCCTGCACGTTGGTCATCTTCCCCTGCTGCTCGCAGTCCTGGTGCGGCTGGCACGGCTTGGTGCTGGAGTTGGAGGAAGAGAAGAAGCCGCGGGGGCAGGCACGGCACCGGGTGTTCTCAAAGGGGGTACCTGGGCACGGGGAGGCAAGGGGACCGTCAGCCCGGGGTGACAAACTGGCAAGGCAGCAGGGGCAGGAGCTGGGGAAGACGGACAGACGCTGTTCGAGCACGAGGGTGATGTTTTGGAAACGATCATCGCCTGCAACTGCCCTGAGAAGCGTTTGTCCTCTCGTAGGGCAAACAGCAACGCTTTCCCCAGTCAGCTCCCCAGCCAAAGCATTTGGCACGTGCTGATGAACGGCCACCGGCCTCCAGCCGCAAGAGGAGATCTCCTCGGCTACCGAAAAAGGTCCCCTCCCGGGTAGGAGAGAGCGGCTGGGGGGCG